ACCTGACAAACACTACCTCAGCCAGGTGACCGAGTACAGCATCAACAGTGGAGTCATGTTGATAGCATACACCTTGATGTGATGTAATGTGTTACTTCATCTCTATGGTCTTCCTCCCTAAAACACATAACACCAGTCTAATGATGAGAAAAATATCAGACAAATCCAAACTGAGGGACATTGTACAAAATACCTGAACAGCACACTTCAAAACTGTCAAGGTCATCAAAATAAGGAAAGTCTGAGAAAGCATCACAGTCAAGAGAAGTCTTAGAAGACATGCCAACTAAATGTAATGTGGTATTCAGGACAGGGTCCTGGAACAGAAAAGGGACATTACATAAGAACTAAGGAAATCTAAGTAAAGGGTGGACTTCAGTTAATATTAATGTATTAGTATTGGTTCATTCATTGTGACAACTGTATCATACTAACGTAAGATGTTAATAACAGGGAAAACTGGGTGTGGGGTATACAGAAATTCTACTATCTTACTGTTTTTTCTGTAAACCTAAAACTGTTCTCAAGTTAAAAGTTAAAAAAAAAAACAAAGTAGTAAATAATAAGACAGAATGGGATTGACTCATTCATTCAACAAATATTTCTTGAGTACCTACTATGTGCTGACACTTCGCTGGAGACTGGGGTTGCAGCAATGAGCAAAAGAGAGAAATACCCGTGATCTTGAGAAGCTTGCACGGGATGTATGCTGGGCCTCGTAGAACTAATATATGTTCCCTGTCATAGCTTTCCTCCCTTAGGATGGAAGTCCCAGTGACATTCCAGTGGCAATGTGACCTCCATTGCTTCTTGTTAAATAAGGGGCAAACATGATCCAGGCCATGGTTCAGCAGAGGGAGGTGAACAGAAAGAGATCTTGCATAAGAAAGAATGGGCACTAGAAGCCAGCTGGCACAGCCAGTGTTTCCTGAGGTTTCCCAAACCCCAGAAAACAGCACAGCCCTTAAATCCTATATATGCCTAGGGAACATCTGCCAAACCATAGAATTCAGCCAGGGGGAGGTCCCCTCAATCACTTGGTCTATCTCCCTCACTTTATAGGGAAGGAAACTGAGGCCCAGAAAAAGAAAATGATTGCTAGTGGTTAAAGAGCTATCTCTGAAACAACTTTCTTTTTTTTTTTTTTTAATTCCTTGGGGCCTGATTAGCAACTTGGAAAAGTATTTTTTCTTTTTTAAAAAAATTTCTTTTTATTAAAGTATAGTCAGTTTGCAATGTTGTGAAATAACTTTTCAATATTTACTTCTTAGAGGCTATGGACATTTATTCTGTTGCTAGGAATCATCAAAAACTGAAAGGCTAGATGTACATACATCCTTAGTATTACATGTGAATAATGGAAAAGACTCAGGAATTCTAGGTACAAAATAAATATCCATGTGGGTCAAATAACATAAGTGATAGGAGCTTCCAAACTGATTATCCTCTGTAACAATCCCAGAAACTTACAGTTAATTCAGGGTAAACAGTTCACTTCCTAAACGGAAACAAACTAACTTTAAGATCACTGTAACCAAAATAAAACCAAGTTACTATGTATTGCATTAGCTAAGTAACAGTTTGCAGGGGAACTTAAACGGTGTAGAGCGTGGATTAGGACAGATATTTCTTTAAAAAAATAAAAATAAAAAACAAAATACCAACAACAAAAACATAAAAATCTCAGAGTAACACCAGAGTCACACTCAGGTAAAAACAGAAGAGAGGGGACCTATAAACTATGAACTAGTCATCCATGTAGGTAGTGAGGTAAATCCACTTAGAGAACCATGCTATTCTTGAGAAACTTTTAGGGCTGTCAGCAGCATCCTGACGCCTGAAGATGCCACTGAGGGTATCAGTTTTAGAGTCAGTCCACTCCCTTCATGATGCCAGCCCATTCTGCACAAAGTCAGATATGTGGCCAGACAGTATGCTCAGGGGAAATTGTTTTTGAAATTGAGTTTTCAACTTTTCTATTAAGGATTGTTTTCAAACAACCATCAGGCCAGATGCTTCCGTGTTTTATCAGGGGAACACAGTAGACACATTTAAGGTGGAATTTTAATGAGAAGATAATGAAAGAAGAATGAAAAATTAGAATTATTAGCTTAACCTCTAACATTGACCTAAGAATTATACCCCCCTGGGCATTACATTAGAATCACCTGGAGAGCTTTAAAAACTCCTAATGCCCTGGCCCTGCCCCAGACCAATTACATTAGAGTCTCTAGGGTAGGACTCAAGCTTCAGTACTTTTTAAAGCTCCCCAGGTGATTCCATTATGCAGCCCAGCTAGGAATCCACTGCTCTACAGGGAGTTGGTCTAAATTTTGAATTATCAAATACTCTTAATTAAAGCAGGATAAACTAACCAGGCATCCTAGCAGTCCAATACCAGGCAATGTTACCCAACTGAATACAAAACTACAACTTAAACAATTTGTCTTTTTAAGTCAAATGTACCCAGATTTCTTTGACTTTCCCTCTCTTCTTCAGATATTTCCACAGCTGAAGCAGCTGCTTCTAAAGTGCAGATATTTTTTTCTTCAAAATACTTATGGTGAGCATGAGGTACAAACTAAGTGAGAATGAGAAACATCATTCCCCCCTTCCCCACCGTCCTTGGTTGGCCTTTCAAAATAGAAAAATAAAGACTAACTTCTCTTAAATGTTCCAAAACAAAATAATTAAAATGTATCTTTGGGTAAACAATCCATGAAACTCTATGAGGTATTTCCTTTATTTTTTAATAGTCACAAACTCAGGGTCAATCATGGAAATAGCTGCATAGTTTTGACTCTGCCAAATGCTTCAGTAAAATTACATCACAGGAGGGCTGCACCCTCCGGGAGTTCTGAATAGTATGTACCCTTTTGCCATTTGGGCCCCTGCCAGCTGAGCTGTGGAGTGGTAGCCTTTCTTTCCAGGATGTGAACTCTCCCTAATTATACAGCATCATGACAATTTGCCCCATCTAATTGGAAGATGTTATCAAATCTGACTAAGGACACTCAACAAACAATAACGAAAAAGACAGCTTTTATCATCCTGAAGGGTTAAAATTTCTCCCAAGGAAAATATCAGGGGCAGTGGCTAGATCACTGGGTTTCTAAGAAAAGGGTAACTCTCTCTGCTATGCATGAGATTAAATCATTAAGGAAGCCATGAAAATAAGAATCAAAAACCTAGTCTACAAATGTTTTTGGTCTCTTTCTCTCCAACAGACATTCAGGTAGTAAAGGGAATGAAATCAACACTCTCCTGTTGCCTGATACAGGACTGACTCATTCCATATAGAAAGGATACTTGCAAGACCATTGGCTTCCAGGTGGTGATGGTATGTTTGCGTCCTAACATAAAACACATGGAAATGCTATTCAGCAATAAAGAGGAAGAAAGTACTCATACACACTGCATCATGAATGAAACTCAAAAAAACTATGCTTAGGAAAAGTTATTATTCCACTTACATGAAATATCCATAAAAGGTAAACCTTTAGAGACAGGAAAATAGTTTGGTCTTGCCTAGGGATCCTTGTGGGGGAGCTGGAAATGTTCTAAAAGTGGATTGCGGTGATGGTTATATAGCTCTGTAAACGCACTAAAAAACCGTGGAAATCACTTAAAAGGGCTAGATTTTTACGGTACATAAATGATTAGTTATTCTTTAGACCTAAATAAAATCCTATTCTTTGGAATAATAAAACTGTCTGAAAAAAGCGATATGCTGCCATCTCTCCTGAGTCTGGGGGTGGTTCCGCAGAGGCCATGCAGGTCATTTGTTTGTCACGTTCACTCCCCATGAATTCTGCGTTTCCATTTCCACATGGAAAAAGTTATCAGGATGAGAGAGGATCCGAGAGCACATTGCCAAATCAGATTTGTACAATCACCACAGACACCAGATCTGGGAATTCCAAAGGCAATCAAATGTAAATCCTTCCTGATCTAGAAGAGAAGGTTAATGTAAGTTGTCACCTCCCAAGCGTGGTCCTACCCATGGCAGTAAATGGAGCAGCCAGGGAAAACCCGACTTCCGCAGAAACGAAGTCGGGAGGCTGGATCCCTAAGGTCCAAAGAATAACCAATCCGTTGATGGGGTTCCTAACCATACAGGGCATGCGTTTATCAAATCCAGGTTGGCTTGACTTTAGAAGTAGGAACTCTGTTTCAACGGGAGCACGAAGTTGGGAAGTTTGTTCCGCGGCCGCGTGTACCTGGTAGCTCTCCGGGGGCCTCTGCGCCGCGGCGACACCGCGCTCCCTCAGCCGCCTCAGCTCAGGCAGAGCCCCCGTCCGCGACGAGGGGCGCAGCTCCCGCCGCGGGGACTGTGCGTGGGG